ATGTCCTAGGCCTCCACATTCACTTACCAAGTTGCTCATTGACTCACCCTAAACAACTTTCAGTCCTGCAAGCACCACTTATGATAAGTACCCTATTCAGGTATATCATTTTTTAATCTTTTAAACCATATTTTGACTGTACCTTTTCTATATTTAGATACATTTAGATAAACTAATACTTATTAATTATAACTGCTTACAGTATTCAGCATAGTAACATGCTTGTACAGGTTTGCAGCCTGCAAGCCACAGACTATACCATCTTTCTGAGGTTTACAGTAGGCTATACCACCTAGGCTTGTGTAAGTGCACTCCTCTATGATGTTCATACAAAGATGAAATTTTCCAATGGCACATTTCTCAGAAAGTAACCTGGTCATTAAGTGCCAGATGACTGTATTTTCTCCCAGCCTGAAGCTCTTAAAAAAATCTTGATGATGTCTTCAGAAGCAAATGTTTTACATTTTGATGAAGTCCAATGTATTATTTTTTATTAATCAAGCTTTTGGTGTTGTTTTGGGGAAAACTCTGCCTAACTCAAAGAAATGAAGATTTTTATCCTACGTTTTCGTCTAAGTCTTTTATAGTCTTTACTTCTACAGCTAGGTCTATTATCCATTTTAAGTTAATTTTTGTGTATAGTGTGAGGTCAGGTCTAAATTAACTATTTTGTATGTGGATATTCAATTGTTCCAGCATTATTAGAAAAAAAAAACCCTATTTTCCCCCATTGAATTGCTTTGGTTCCTTTGTTGAGAATCAATTGATCATGAATATAATTTCTGAATTCTAAATTAGGTTCCATTTATCTATAGATCTATCATTATGCCAGTATTACACCATTGCAATTACTGTAGCTGTATAATAAATATGGAAATGAGGTAATATACATCTTCAAGATTTGTTTTGGCTATTCTGGATCTTATATATTTGTATATAAAGGTTAGAATCAGCTTATTAATTTCAGCAAAATATCCTGCTTAGATTTTGATAGAAGTTGGGTTTAATCTTAATTTTTATAGAAATTGGGTTTAATTTGGGCAACAGCTACCATCTTAATAATGCTGGGTCTTCTAATTCATGCATGTGGAATACATCTCCATTTATTTATATTTTTTTCATTTCTCTGAAAAATGTTTTGTGATTTTTTTTTTTTTTTTTTTTTTTTTTTANTAGAAGCTTGCACTTACTTTGTAAAATTTAATTCATTCATTTTTGGGTTTTTTTTGGGGGGGGTCTTTTTTGAGATGGAGTCTCACTCTGTCACCTAGGCTGGAGTGCAGTGGCATGATTTTGGCTCACTGTAACCTCTGCCTTCCAAGTTCAAGTGATTATCCTGTCTCAACCTCCCAAGTAGCTGTGATTACAGGTGCCAGCCACTATGCTCGGTTAACTGTTGTACTTTTAGGAGAGATGGGGTTTCACCATTTGAATTCTTTCACCAAAAGAATTCAATACTCATTCATAATTTAAAAATAAAAGTGAATAGGCATAGAAGAGAACATAGTAGGCCTTGATGAGAATCCTCCACAAAGTAGGCACAGAAGAGAACCTTCTTAACATGATAAAGACCACTCATGAACACCTTTTAGGTGACAAACCATATTTAATGGTAATGAATGCTTTTCCTCTAATATTGATAACCTGAAAAGGCTCGTCTCAACTCCTGAATTCAAGTGATCTGCCTGCCTCAGCCTCCTAAATTGCTGGGATTATAGGCATGAGCCACTGTGCCAGGTCAAAAATGTTTTCTTAATTTCCTTCTCAAAATGTTACTGTATAGATTCTTGTATACTGTTCATGCATCTTAGGACCTTGCTGTCCTTGTTTATTAATTCTAGTAGGTTTTGTGTGGGGTCTTTAGAATCTTCTACATACAGAATCATGTCATCTGTGAATAAAGGCAGTTTCTCTTCTTCCTCGCCATTCTGAATGCCTTTTATGTATTTTTCTTTCCTCACTGTCCTAACTAGAATCTCCAGTGTACTGTTGAATACAGTGATAAGAAGAGACATCCTTTCCTAGTTATCAATATTAGAGGGAAAGCATTCATTACCATTAAATATGGTTTGCCATCTAAAGGGTGTTCATAGGTATCTTTATCACGTTAAGAAAGTTTTCTTCTGTGCCTACTTTGTGGAGGGTTCTCTTGTAGGCCTACTACGTTCTCTTCTATGCCAATTTTACTTTTTTTGTGGTGTGAATAAGCACTGAATCCTGCCAAAGCTTTTTGTTCATATTTTCATATATTCATGTGAAATAAACATATGAAATATATGTTTTTGTTCTTTTTTCTATTAATATGTTGAATTACATTAATTGATTTTTAGATAATGAACCAACTCTACATTACTGGGATAAATCCCTTTTGATTATGGTATATAATCTTTTTTATATACTGTTGGATTTCATTTATTAATAATTTGTTGAAGATATCTATGTGTATGTTCATGAAGAATATTTGCCCGTAGTTTCCTTTTCTTGTGATATGTTCCTCTGACTTTGGCATGAGGAAAATACTGGCCTTATAGAATGAATTGGTGGGTGTTCCCTTCTCTTTTTCATCAAGGAATTTGAGAAACATTAGTGTTATTTTTCTTAGGTTTAATAAAATTAAAGAATGAAGCCTAGACTTTTCTTTTTTCAAAGATTTTTCATTATTAATTCATTAATTCAGTTTCTTTACTTATTATAGATTTATTCAGATTTATAACTTTTTATGGGTCAGTTTCTCTAATTTGTGGCTATCCAGGAATTTATCTATGTCATCCACGTTGTTTACCATTTGGGCACAGAGTTGTTCATTGTATTCCAGTGTAATTCCCCAAATGGGAATTACATACTTTTAATGATAACTGTTCATCTATATATGATACATACTTATAAATAAACATAATTACTTATCCACTAGATGAAGAAAAACCCTTAAGGAGGTTCTTGTCATCAATTAGGTTTATAAAATATGAGTAGATTTATTTATTCATATCCTGACTTGTACCTTCTATTATGATTCATATATCCTGTTAGCCTAATTAGCCAAACATAATGTTGTTTTTAGCTTTGTATCTATTCTTAAATGTTATTTCCTAGTTTTTGTTTCTTTTTTTTATGTGTATGTACATGGTTTTACTTATCTTCAGGTTTACACATCATTAATACATTATTATTAGAGGTTAGCTGACAGTGTCAAGACTGGCATGGTAAAACTTGGTGCCATTATATTGCTCATGGATAAATTTAATACTATTACTAAGTACCAGAAAGATCATTTGGGGATGTAAAAATATTAAAAGCTACAAGATAAATTATAGTAACTACATGAAAATCCATGTCACATACAGCTAACCAGTACTCTGATCTCATTGTTTCTCACATCCACTATTCCTAATTAGCGAGGGGAAAAAATGAAAAATGTTGGTAGATTTAAGCATTTCAGGTATTGAGAGTCCTCAAATCTACTAGTTATTATAATAAAAACTGAAGAAAAGGCCAACCCCAAAAGAAAAGGAAATGCTGGCTTGTGTTAGCAGCCTATAAACTTTAAGAATCAGTATGTAATAAATTATATTAGGTTACTACATATATTAATAATCATCATGTGGTAACCCATCACCCTACACTGTTATTTAGAGAGAATATACTGAATAGATACAATAGTCACAAAGAATAGAATTAGTTCATATACAATTCATTGTAACATGATTATTAAAACAAAGGATGTTGTAATGGCATTTGAAAATAGAAGTGGGTGAGTGTTTACTGTGTGGGGAGGCTGAAAGAAGTTAATGCTGTAGAATTAGTGTTCAGTTAATGCCATCCAAAGGTACAATACAGTATTAAGTGGACATAAAATTCCAGTAAAGAGACATTATTTTAAAAAGGAGTGAAGATAAGTCTCTAGGCTTTCCTATGACTACTAAGTATACCATAAGATCAATCCTTAGCTCTAATTCTCTAATAATCAAGCAGCCTTCTAATATATATAATGCATTATTCTATTCAGCAGAAGGGTATGATCCATATAGGTGAAACTCATTTGTTAAATTGCCAGCTATACTTCCAATGATTAATAAATGACATGGCATATGTGCTTATAAATTTATACTTCTAAATTTTGGTTAATGTCAATCAGTCCTGGCAGAACTTGACAAAAAGTTTACTAAAGCTGGAGCATGCTGCCTCCATAAAAATATAACTACCCCATGAATACTATGCAAAACAGTATGCATACACCTTAGTTTCCAGTAATAGATTCATTAGAAAAATAATGACCTGAGATTTAGGGGCAAAGAGCCTAAAATGTCATCTTTCAATCTGAAAAATATTTCTGAGTTTATTTGAAGCATCTCTGTAATAATGTAATTCTATTTCATATTTCAAGCTGTACAATCCAGGGAAAAATGTACATGATGATAATGATAACAATAATAATAATATCAGTTTATATTCTTGAGACTAATTAATTCTTATAACTACCCTGTAATGCAGGTATTATTATTTCCCTTTTATAAAAGAAGAAAGTGAGGAATAGAGAGATGATCTGCCACAAGACATACAGTTCTGAAGTATAAGAATTAATATTTAAACTCGGAGTAGTCTGAAGTTAAAGTTCACATTTTCATCCACTATGCTATACTTGGTATACTTCATATTCATAAAATATCTAGAATAATAAAGGAGGAAATAATAATTTTGTGTATATTGTTATGTGACTAAAATCATATTAGCTATTTTATTCTTATATTTAGGATTCTAAGCACTAAGATTTAAATGTAAATGTGTTTATTTGGTGTCATATCATCCAAAATGGAAATATAAAGGTTTTTAACATTGTGATAGGTGAATATTATGGGTACAACCTTATTTTAGTAGTAATAACTATGGAAACATGAACAAACTCCTATTAATATCCACAATGATATCTTCCAGTTCTGTATCATATATATTACTCAAGATTAGGAAAATTCAATAAAAACATGAAAAATTTTACTAAAACTTACTTTGTAACCTCCTTGTTGGGCTCTCTCCATGGAGCTGTCTTCGTGGCATATATGGAGAAGGGTGGGGAAGTGGCAATGAAGAGATATCATGCGTCTGAAGTTTGTACCAATGTGGCTCATCATCTAATAATGCTGTTTCTAATTCAATTAAAATCTACAAACCCAAGAGACAAAGGACAGTTATATCAATAATAAAGAAATTACATTAAATGGTCCTATAACTTCTATAGTAATAATTATAATAGTAATGCTATTATATAAAAAGCAAGGTCATTTAGATATTGTAAAATTGTCAATATGTTTTTGACAATAAAACTTTTATAACTTCTTAGTGACTTAATAGTTTTAAATATCTAAGACATTTATTTTGTTGACCCTTGACTACCCACTACTAGAAGCTATTAAATTTACAATTACAAAAATAACACTTTTCATTATAAATGAGTAATAATAACTAATATTTGTATATCATTTTAGAAGTTAAAAAGCATTTTTATTTAGCATCAACCTAAATGTCCGTCAGTGATAAACTGGAGAAAATTATGGTACATATACACCATGGAATACTATGCAGCCATAAGAACAAGATCATGTCCTTCACAGGGATAAGGATGGAGCTGGAGGCCATTAACCTTAACAAACTAATGCAGGAACAGAAAACCAAACACTGCACGTTCTCACTTTTAAGTGAGATGAGAACACATGGACCCACAGAGGCAAATAACACATGCTGGGGCCTATTGGAGAGTAGAGGGTGGGAGGAAGAAGAGGATCAGGAAAAATACTAATTGGTAATAGGCATAATACCTGGGTAATGAAATAATCTGCACAACTAACAACTGCACGATACATGACATATGTTTACCTATGTAACAAACCTGCACATGTATCCCTGAACTTAAAATGAAAGTTAAAAAAATTAACATTTACAAGAACTCTTAAATGGGAAGAGAAAAACAAATTTGAAATCCTTACTGTGTTATAAGGATGTGCCTATTATTTGTCATAATTATTAAAAAACTACTAGCTTCGTCTTATTGTTTAATTTTCATAAACAAAAATACCAAGGCTAACAAAGGTTAAAAGAACTTGTCTAAGGGCACACCAGCTTGTAAGTGAAAGAGGTGTAATCTGAATCAGCATGTCTTATTTAAAATTCTATATTTACCACACCACCTGTTAAAGATTTAAAACAAGAAAAGAAAAAAAAAAACCAAGAATGGATTTTAAATATGAACCATATTATAAATTTTATTACAGGAATATTTAAAAAATTTACCCAAAATATCTGTCTGTAGAAATTAACATCTTTTTTTTTTTTTTTTGGATGTTGTGCAAATATGACAGTGTTTGTGGTTGTGTTTACAAGAACTGCCACATAAAGATAAATTACTATTTACCTAAGGGAGATAAAGAAGCAACACAGCCAAGTTAATATTTCATTTTTTCTTTTTTGTTTTTGAGACAGGGTCTTGATCTGTCACCCAGCCTGGAGTGCAGGGGTGCAATCATAGTTAACTGCAGCCTCAAACACCTGGGGTAAGGCAACTCTCCCATCTCAGCCACCTGAGTAGCTGGGACTACTGTATGTACCACGATGCCTGGCTAATAACTTTTTTGGTTTTTTTATACATGGGGGTCTTGCTGTGTTACCAGGCTGGTCTTGAACTCCTGGTCTTAAGCTATCCTCCTGTCTCAGATTCCCAAAGAGTTAGTATTACAAGTGTGAGCCACCATGCCTGGACTTATTTCACTCTTCCTAAATTTTCCCTAGCTATTTTCAAAATTATAGGTACTATGTTCCAAAGAATTACAAACACACAATACAACACACTTATTTAATCCTCATATTAACCCTGAGTTGCATACTAGTATTATTCCCACTTGGCTGAAGAAAAATCTGATGCAAGGATGGGTTAAATAACTTGTTCAAAGACACAAGGCTAAGAAGTGGTAGTGCCAGGAATATAAACCCAGGCAGCAAGCTCCAGAGTATCTGCTCCTAACAACTGTGTGACCCTTCTTCCCAAGGGTCATAGAAGAGTTTTTAGTTTTATCTTTCTTTGGTTCCTTAGCTGACAACACTCACTTCAATATTTCTATAGATTGTTGTTTTTCCCATGAGATTACCATTTAATTTACTCAGAAAAACCAACTGATATGGTTTGGCTGTGTTCCCACCCAAATCTCATCTTGAATTTTAACTTCCATAATACCTTTGTGTTGTGGGAGACCCAGTGGGAAGTAACTGAAGAATGGGGGTGGGTCTTTCTTGTGCTGTTCTCCTCATAGTAAGTCTCATGAGATCCGATGATTTTATAAAGAGGAGTTTTCCTGCACAAGCTCTCTCTCTTTGTCTGCTGCCATTTATGTAAGACATAACTTGCTCCTCCTTGCCTTCTACCATGATTGTGAGGTCTCCCCAGCCATGTGGAACTGTAACTCTTTTTCTTCCCAGTCTCGAGTATGTCTTTACCAGCAGCATGAAAACGAACTAATACAGTAAATTGGTACTAATAGAGTGGGATGCTGCTGAATAGATATCCGAAAATGTGTAAGCGACTTTGGAACTGGGTAACAGGCAGGGGTTGGAACACTTTGGAGGGCTCAAAAAGAAGACAGGAAAATAAGGGAAAGTTTGGAACTTCCTAGAAACTTGTTGAATGACTTTGCCCAAAATGCTGATAGCTATATGGACAATAAAGTCCAGGCTGAGGTGGTCTCATATGGAAAGGAGGAATTTGTTGGGAACTGGAGCAACAGTGATTCTTGTTATGCTATGGCAAAGAGACTGGTGGCATCTTACCCCACCCTAGAGATTTGTGGAGGGAGACAAAGCTCAATTTGTCTCAATTTAAACTTGAGGGAGATGATTTAGGATATCTGGTAGAACAAATATTGAAGCAGCAAAGCAGTCAAGAGGTGACTTGGGTTCTGTTAAAGCCATTTGTTTTTATTTATTTATTTATTTATCTAGCTATTTATTTATTTATTTAGAGACGAAGTCTCATTCTGTTGCCAGGCTGGAGCACAGAGGCATGATCTTGGCTCACTGCAACTTCTGCCTCCTGGGTTCAAGTGATTCTCCTGCTTCAGCTTCCCGAGTAGCTGGGACTACAGGTGTGCGCCACCATGCCCAGCTAATTTTTGTATTTTTAGTAGAGACAGGGTTTCACCATGTTGGCCAGGATGGTCTTGATCTCTTGACCTTGTGATCCTCCCACCTCAGCCTCCCGAAGTGTTGGGATTATAGGCATGAGCCACCACACTGAGCCAGCATTCAGTTTTATAAGGGAAGCAGAGCATAAAAGCACTTGCAGCCTGACAATGTGATAGAAAAAAAATCCCATTTTCTGAGGAGAAATTCAAGCCAGCAGCAGAAATTTGCATAAGTGGCTTGCTCCTCCTTGCCTTCCTCCATGATTGTAAGGCCTCCCTAGCCATGTGAAACTGTAAGTACATTAAACCCCTTTTTCTTCCCATCCTTCAGTATATCTTTATCCGCAGCGTAAAAATGAACTGAAATACCAACCACACTAAAAAGACTGAAAGTGAATTGCATGCTAATAGCTGGATAATTTCCTCCCATCTTTCCCCTCTCCAACAATTCTCTACATTACAGCTGGAAATATTTTTCTCAAGTACGATCCAACCATTTTCTTTTTAAAGAGGATATGAGACTGTGCAAGATGATGAGACCCCATCCCTACAAAAAAATAAAATTAGCAGGGCATGGTGGTAGGTGCCTATAGGCCCAGCTACTTGGGAAGCTGAGGGAGAAGAATTACTTGAGCCCGGGAGTTCAGGCAGCAGTGAGCTATGACTATGCCACTGTGACAAAGCAAGACTCCACAGAGTTGGGAAACAGAATTGGTTATTGGTCATTGGTTCCCATTATCCACCGGATAACTCCAAATTTGTTTATATATTAAGAGACATGCTCTGGTCTCAGTTTAAGCCTCAAACTTCATTTCTTACCACATTCCCTTCCAATTTCAATGCAGTTGACCAAGATCTTTGCACACCTGATGTCTTCTTATTCCCTCTGCAGGAATTTCGCTCCCCTTGAATTTGCAAAATTCCTCTCTCTTGGTGAAGACTTCCTTTGACTACCTGCCCTCCTGTGCACAGCAATTAAGTATTCCTATTGCATTTTCCCCTTCATAGCAATTGGGATGCTATAGTCTAATTGCTATTCATGTGTCTGTATCACCAGTGAATTGTAAATTCCTTGAAGTAAGTAACATTCCTTGTTTACCTTTGAAGGATCGGTTACATTGTAGGGCTTGAAAATAATCCATAAACAAATGGTTTAACTACTTATTAGTGGTATAGTCTATTCAGTAAACTACCAAGATATACACATCACTATAAAACAAAAGAATATATTTGTGAAATACAAACCTTTTATCATTCAACACAGAGTTTTAAAATAAGAACAAACATGTAAAAATTGTCAGAATATATAGAGCCACTGTTTTCTATAGTATCAAGTTTTGTCCCAAAGCAGTAGCTGAAATTTATTCCATTAAAGAAACTGTGCCTACTTTTGCAGATATTCTATATATATATAATTGTACTGAAGTAATCAGAATAACATGAATAGTGTAAACTTTAAAACAACTCCAAATACCTCGCCTAAGAATTCACTTTCTTCCTCTCGAACTCGAGCTTGATCCCAAAGGGTAATCTCTAGCATCCGTTCCCGAAATTCTCTTCGGTGGACTGGAGAATAAATAAATGTTTGGTTCCATTTGGGTTCCAATGTTTTCTTTACTGTTTTAGTTCTTCTCTTGTTTTTATCACTATGGAAAAAACAACGAATTATAAACTTACATAGAATTATAAGTTTTGTCCTAAAATTTATTAATGTAAAATTTCTCTGGAGACAAGATCATATATTTATCATACATTACAAATGTTATAATCTTTAAAATTATGAAAAATTTAAGCTACATACTATATCACATTTTATAGGTATGACAATAATAGCAATGTTTCAATAAATCTTAAATTTTTTCAATAACAGTTTATTGAAAACTTAATCTTTCTCAAAATCTAAATAAAACCAGACTGAGAATCTTGACTCTATAATTTTTTAACATATTGCCCTATTGAAAACTTTCTAATGATAATTAACCAGTAACATTACATATAGTACTCACTTAAATTATAGAAGTTTCACTGTACAAAAAAGATGAGTAATTGTGATATTCACAATTTCTTATCTATAAAGTTCTAGCTAATGACCAATTATAATTTGTATTTATAAAGGTATTTTTTTAAATACAAGAAATTCAGATTTGTTTATTTGACATGTATTTGGTACTTTAAAACATTGTAAATTTATTTCTACGTGAGGCAGTCACCATAACGTGGGATGAAAATGCAATATAGCCATCCCAATAAATGGGATTGCTAGCTGAGAGGTTTCCATGTTCTTTTTGGTTGTGTATCTCTGTACGTGTATTACCATACTGTTGTGCTGGGAAATATACTAAAACAGAAATTAAAAATAATAAAATAAAAATTTTTAAACATTCAAATATTTCTTTCTGAACATGAAAGATTATCCTATACATCACCCAGGGTACATCCAACCTATTTGAAGATCACTACTCTTGCTTATTAGGATCACTGGCTGGATAGGAATAAAATTTCCTAAGGAATCTATTTAAAATGACAGACAAGCTCCAATTAGAATAGCATCAACGTCTACAAATTATCTTAGCACAACACAGTTCTAAGAGTTTTGAGAAACAGGGAGGAGAGAGAACAAAGAAGGTGTACAATTGTCTCTGAAATTGGAAAGTTATGCAACTTCTTCTCACTGGAATTTCAATGTTTAATATAGATTTCACTTGAATAATGAAGAGGTATTGTATGTTTCCAGAGCACACATATATAATGTGGCAGAAAGCTGCCTTTAAATACATTAATTGATAATGAATTTTGCTAATACGCATGGAAAAGATAACATGTAATGTAGCTTTATTAACCATGAAGGCATTGGCAGAAAAATGACATTGCAAACCCATGTAGGAGATTTTATCACTATATATGGAAAGAAGTAATGTGTATGGGAATAAATTATCTGAAACAAGGATTGTGATGTATGATCTTTTTCTCCCTCCCTTCTTTTAAAGCTTTAAGAAATATTTATTGAACATCTACTCATATTTCATTGATAAAGAATGAATATTGAGACCCTGTCAAGAGATAAAGTTCCTTCCACAAAGACCAGGATGAAAGTATTTAACAGAAGCCTTACTATCTAATTCAAGAATAGTTTATATCAAAATCTGAAAGGATAAAGAAGAGAAGTAAGTCATGAACTACCTCAAGAATAGAAAAAAGCTCTCAGATAAAGAATGACAATTTGGTTGGGCACTGTGGCTCATGCTTGTAATCACAGCACCTTGGGAGGCCGAGGCGGGTGGATCACGAGGTCAGGAGTATGAGACCAGCCTGACCAACATGGTGAAATCCCGTTTCTACTAAAAATACAAAAATTAGCCGGGTGTGGTGGCACACACCTGCAATCCCAGCTAATCGAGAGGCTGAGGCAGGAGAATTGCTTGAACCTGGGAGGTGGAGGTTGCAGTGAGCCCAGATGATGCCATTGCACTCTAGCCTAGGTGACAGAATGAGACTCCATCTCAAAAACAAAACAAAACAGAGAAGCTGTGAGGGCCTGGAGCACGCAGACCTCTCCGGCTTAACGCTCATCTCGGTGTTTGCAGCACTCTCCACTTCTCTCCCAGGTGACGAGACCCGACGGTTAGAAATCCGCCATGTCTATTTTCAAGATCCATGCTACGGAGATCTTTGACTCTCGTGGGAATCCCACTGTTGAGGTTGATCTCTTTACCGCAAACGGTCTATTCAGAGCTGCTGTGCCCAGTGGTGCTTCAACTGGTATCTATGAGGCCCTAGAGCTCCGGGACAATGATAAGACTCACTATATGGGGAAGGGTGTCTCAAAGGCTGTTGAGCACATCAATAAAACTATTGTGCCTGCCCTGGTTAGCAAGAAACTGAATGTCACAGAACAAGAGAAGATTGACAAACTGATGATCGAGATGGATGGAACAGAAAATAAATCTAAGTTAGGTGCGAATGCCATTCTGGGTGTGTCCCTCGCCATCTGCAAAGCCGGTGCTGTTGAGAAGGGAGTCCCTCTGTACCACCACATCGCCGACTAGGCTGGAAACTCCAAAGTCATCCTGCCAGTGCTGGCATTCAATGTCATCAATCGTGGTTCCCATGCTGGTAACAAGCTGGCCATGCAGGAGTTCATGATCCTCCCAGTGGGTGCTGCAAACTTTAGGGAAGCCATGCGCATTGGAGCAGAGGTTTACCACAACCTGAAGAATGTCATCAAGGAGAAATATGGGAAAGATGCCACCAATGTGGGCGATGAAGGTGGGTTTGCTCCCAACATCCTGGAGAATAAGGAAGGCCTGGAGCTGCTGAGGACTGCAATTGGGAAAGCTGGCTACACTGATAAGGTGGTCATCGGCATGGATGTGGCGGCCTCCGAGTTCTACAGGTCTGGGAAGTATGACCTGGACTTCAAGTCTCCTGATGTCCCCAGCAGGTACATCTCACCTGACCAGCTGGCTGACCTGTACAAGTCCTTCATCAAGGACTACCCAGTGGTGTCTATCGAGGATCCCTTTGCCCAGGATGACTGGGGAGCATGGCAGAAGTTCACAGCCAGTGCAGGAATCCAGGTGGCTGGGGATGATCTCACAGTGACCAACCCAAAGAGGATTGCCAAGACTGCAAATGAGAAGTCCTGCAACTGCCTCCTGCTCAAAGTGAACCAGATTGGCTCCGTGACCGAGTCCCTGCAGGCATGCAAGTTGGTCCAGGCCAATGGTTGGGGCGTTATGGTGTCTCATCATTTTGGGGAGACTGAAGATACCTTCATCGCTGACCTGGTGGTGGGGCTGTGCACTGGGCAGATCAAGACTGGTGCGCCTTACCAATCTGAGCGCTTGGCCAAGTACAACCAGCTCCTCAGAATTGAAGAGGAGCTGGGCAGCAAGGCTAAGTTTGCTGGCAGGAACTTCAGAAACCCCATGGCCAATTGAGCGGTGGGCAGGCCAGCCCTTCAGTCGCCTGTTGGCTGATTAGGCTCCTCCCCTCGTGTCAGCTCGGGCAGCTCCAGGCCCCCCGACCAACACTTGCAGGGGACCCTGCTAGTTAGCTCCCCTTGCCCACCACCGTGGAGTTCACACTGCTTCCTTAGAACTTCTACAGAAGCCAAGCTCCCTGGAGCCCTCTTGGCATCCCTAGCTTTGCAGTCACGTAATTGGCACAAATCGTTTTTCTCGCCTCGCTTTCCACCAAGTGTCTGGAGCAATATGAACCTCCAGTGTCATCTCTGGGGTGGCCACAGGCAAGATCCCCAGTGGTTTTGTGCTCAAAATAAAAGGCATCAGTGAACCATGAGAGAAAAAAAAAAAAAAAGCAGAATGACAAGTTTAGACAAGATTTCTATATTGAATCGGAAGAAGACTAGACAATCTCTGAAGTTCCTTATAAACCTAACATATATGATTGTAATTTAATAAGGCAATGTAGTATGTACCCAAGCACCAATTCATAAAAAGAACCATGAAAAAATAACCTTATCTTCATCAAGTTAAAAAAAATGAGTTTTACTTTCTCTATAAGTATAAATAAAGCCCTCAGAATCAAAGCATGCTGCATAAGTCAAACACTGAAAAGGTGCTAAAACATTTAAAAACTAAGATCAATAAGCATGTTATAGAGATTATTCTAAAATAAAAGCCTAATTATAATAAAATAAATAATTGATCTTTAAATGAATCATCAAATTGCTGAAAAGGTAGTTAACTTTTATAAAAAATAAAATCCAACCTAATTCTTTTTAAAAAATTTATTTTCATGTTACTAGGACTTTGATTTCCATTTAATTTAGTAACGGCATGAAAACACCTGATGTTTTTACTTAACATTAGAAGAAGAAATATATTTTAACTGGTAACCAACTTTGCTTCAAGATATAAAAAAGAGTATAGGCCAGGTACAGTGGCTCACACCTGTAATCCCAGCACTTTGGGAGGCCGAGACAGGTGGATCACGAGGTCAGGAGATTGAGTCCATCCCGGCCAACATGGCGAAATCCCACCTCTACTAAAATACAAAAAAATAGCTGGGCGTGGTGGCATGCACCTGTAGTCCCATCTACTCAGGAGGCTGAGGTAGGAGAATCACTTGAACCCAGGCGGCAGAGGTTGCAGTGAGCTGAGATCGTGCCACTGCACTTCAGCTGGGTGACACAGCAAGACTCTGTCTCAAAAAAACAAAAACCACGGTAAA